TGATGTTTGTTACATTCAATGAATAGATTATGTCTCTATTCATAGTGAATGGATAGATTAGTTCTCTTGTGTATCGTTAAAATCATTGACGGTATTCCATTGATTTTTTAAGTTGAATTTATCCTGGTGACATTGGTTCACAAAATCGTACAGGTTTCAAGTGTACAAGTCAACAAAACATCATTTGCCACAGTGCATTGTGCGCCCATTGCCCAAAGCAAAGGCCCTTTTCATCCTCATTTATCCTCCCTTTGTCCTCTTCCACCTTCCCCCACCCCCTTTCCCTCTGGCTATCACCACACTGTTGTCCGTGTCTGTGTGTTATATATATATAATGCTTTGATGTGCTCTTTACATGTATCATTTGTATGTTATTTTGTAACCAGACAACCAAGGGGTCTGTGCTGCCGGTCACTACTTCAGCCAATTAAGCAGAGACAGGGTTGAGTCATATTTGAACGTTTATTCCAATAATGCCGGCGGTGTGGGAGAGCAGCAGGTGATCCACAAAAATCTGCTTTGCACCCCAGCATAAGCCAGCTGCTTATATTGGGTAGAAGGACAAGATTACGTGGGGAAGTAGGAATTACAGGTATGGGAAAGTGGGCGCGGGATAATCATTACAGGTTAAAAGTCATGGTGGGGTGGGGTGGTCACAGATAGTGGGTGCCCTGGGCCCCCTGGGACCAGATTACAGGTAATAGAGGCTGGGGGTTGTAAAGAACAGGTGCCTCCAGGACTAGGTGCCATGCGATTATAAATCTTTCTATAAGGGTAGGCAATTCTCAGGAAAGGAGGATGGACTGCATTCCGATGTTAGCTCCCAGGTCCCAGGGCATACAACTCTCAGCGAGGTTAGAATGTGCTTTTTCTAATCAGAACAGAACAATCACAGTTAACAGGGCATGGTTACCTAATAGTTATTATAATAATCATTAATTTCTAATATTCTATTTGTGCCCCTTACAATTTAATGCCAGTGCCCTAGCAGTAGTCTCTCTTCATTTGAATATGCTTTCCTACTTCTGTTCTTGACTCAGATCTCTTGCTTTCTGTGTAGATTTTCACATAAAGTGGGTATTTTTATTTGATTTGTTTTACATTTTTTTCTTGCTAGTGTTATATTATAGACTTTTTCCCCCCTGCCATTCCTGCCATAGGACTTTATAAAAGGACTGTCTTACTTTCACTTAAACTTTTATTTCCCACGTAACTTTAAGGTATACATTTTACTCCTCCCCCCCATCATTAATACATTACCATTTGACTCTCTCATTAGGCTGTCAATCTGTAAAACTCTAGAAGAAGAAAGAGAGGCCTTATTTTAAATAGGCCTGATACTTTGCTAAAGATGTTGGTGCACTGTCTACAATTCTATTCTTGTCAAGAAAATGCTTTTGAAATTTCAAGGAGAAATGAAATTAAGAAAAGCTACCAAACCAGGAAAGATTTAGAGAGGATAAAATAAAGAAAAGAAGGACAGAATCCACTACAAAAATCTAGGGAAGGTCCGTGCCTTATTTAAAAATAACTAAATATGTGATGAAGAGGATCCTGAATGGCCAGACTGAGGTTCTAGGCATGACATCCTCCCTATGGGAAAATGGTAGTTCAAGGCCCCTCAGCCAAGGTCCCTGTGCCATTGTTAGTGGTCAGCCAATGAAACACTATTCATAGAGACTGGGGCGTTGAGCCTGGGTACGAAAAGGAAGGGGAACATTTAGTAACGATTCCCACAGAAATGTTATACAAACCTTGGTACGGGGCAGTTTCTCCCGTTTCAGTGGAGCTAAGAGGAGACAGTACGCCTGAAGTGCAGCAGGGGCAATTTATGTTAAAATTCAGGCAGGCGGTCTGGTCTCTGAGATCCTCGAATATGTTACTAAGCAGAGCAGGACTTGCCCCACAAACAGGGCTGGCGAGTTTTCCAAGATGCCAAGTCATTAGGCAGGGTTTCCCGGGATGGCACTGCCACAGCCTCAACTGCTCTCTGCGAGCATCTGACCTGATTCACGAAGAAAGCCTATGGAATTCTGTCGACTTCAGACTTGACATAAAAAGGTGGGTGGCAACCAGGGCAGGTCTTTCTGAAGATGGGGGCTCCCATGTCCCCCTTTGCCTCGTAAGGGCACCGTGGCTACCGCAAATGAGAAACTGCAGTTAGCTTTCTTTGCCAGACAGCAGGGAAATTTATATTTCTGCTTAAAACAGAATGCTTTTCAAGGCAGAGGAATTAATAAGGTTAGAAACAAAGTTTCTTCTGGGGAATGGTGTATGGAGACAGCAATGGGGGTAGGGCTGGAGGGAATACACTCCTTAAGCTGCTTCTGTGAAAAACTTCCATCAACTGCTAGCTTTTGCTTCTACAAAACTTTGACATCTGTCCCTTGACCTTTACCAACTACCCTTTCACGTTTGACACTTAGCGTTTGCTACATAATTACAATTCAGCGCTAATTAATTTCAACACTATCGGTTAAGTTATATTTAGCTGGGAACACTCACTTTTGTCTTTTGTGAGTAGCAGTGCAGTGTTATTACAGAGAGGTAGTCAGGAGGGCAACAGAGATACGAGAAGAATGATTCAGTGTGCGGATAATTGTTTCGAGTGAAATTTAGCTCGGTATTTTTGTTCCTGTCCTCAGTAGAACTGAGATTTAGCACCTCGAGTTGGCATTTAGCCCCCACCCCCACACAGGAGGAGGTTGTGCTGGGCGGGTGCTGAGAACGAGCCACACCAGAATGAAATTATAGCACAGTTCTAACACTGGCAAGCTTTTTCTCTGGCCAGCTCCTGGGTGCAAAGCTGGTGACTCCAAAAGAGAGGCAAGGCATCCCTAGAAAGGATCTCCATCTGGTGTGGCGTCACCCTCAATGAGGGGGGCTGACTTGGTTGTTGTTTAAAGAGCATGTTGCCATGTTGCTCAAAAAGTGGTGACCACACACCACCCCCCCCCCCAAAAAAAAAGGAAAAAAAAGTGGTGGGAGCCTGGATTGTTTCCGGAGTTCTAGTTCCAAACGTTATAGTTCTAACGTTAAAAAGTCACCCATGAGATTATCTCTTTTTTTGGGGGGGGGGGAGATTATTCCATAATGGGACCAAAAAACCTTAATAGAAATGGATTAAAAAAAAGATGTTTGACCCCTTTTTCTGACTTTTCCAAGTGGGAAAACATTTTTACTAGTTTGTGCATTGCATGCTCTTTTGCTTTGTAAGAGGATTATATAGGAATATGAATATGCTTCAAAACACTACGAAACCATTACAACTTGCCATTCTCTATATGCCAAGGATTTGAGTAGCTCTAGTTCAGTTAGCATGAAGTTGTGGTCCACTAGTTTACCGTGCCGCTGAAATGTCTGTCCTTACATCCATGTACGGAACAGGAAGAGAGAGCTCTCCACCTGGTAGATAGTGCAGGTGAAACACAGTGTGAGCCACTCATACATGGTTCCCTGAAGATGCAGTAATGACAGTAAACCAAATTTTTGGGTGTTCTTTGAGACAGTATAACCAGATAGCCTCCAGTTGTTAAAAAATATACAAATAAGGAAACAGTTTTATAGCATTTTTATTTGTGGGATTATAGAACATTTTTGCCTCTAGTAATTCAACTTTTACCTTTAGAATCACATTCTGTGCCCCCATCTCATCCTCTTCCTACAGTGGGAGGGCACTTGTGCCCTGGCAGATTTTGTTTTCCTGCCCACCCATTGGAAAGAACGGCAGCCTCTATATGCCAAGGATCTTACTATCTCCGGCTCAGTAGTCAAGCAATTCAGCATCAAGTCAGATTTCTGCTGGTTGGGCACTGCTAGATGGTCCCTGTTAGACAGTAACTGACCTTGAATCTTAACCCTGAGACCAACTCATCTTGTGTTCCTGATGGGATACTAATAAATATCCCTCTTGGTCCCAGTGCATGAGAATCTAACTGGCTCTCTAAGATGAGGTTTTTGGCTTTTTTTTTTTTTCAGTTGTCTCCTCCCTCCCCAACTTGCCCCAAACTGACTGCAGGATAGTGGAATCCTAGTGATGAAGCCCAGTCTTATGATGAAGGTCTCACTACCACTGAAAACATCTCTGCTTTCAATCTCTTGCTCAGGCCTCTGACCTGGGCCTACTCTGGGCTCCCCTGACAGCTGGCTCTGTTCATTGCTTGTCACAGCAGCCCCAAATCTGTCCACTTCCAGAAGTCACTGGGCCTCTGGATGCTCTGATTCACCTTTCAAACTGCACTGAATCCCCATACCTTCCATCAAATAAATTGCCAGGAGCATATGTGCCACCCCAGGGGCTCCTCTGCTCCGGGTCTGCTTCTTCCTGTCCTGTCCTGGAGTTGACCTTGGCCAAACCCTGCTATGAAGCAGTGCAGGAAGAGGCGAAGCTTTATTATTTAGAGCACTGGTTCTCAACTTTCCTAATGCTGCGACCCTTTAATATAGTTCCTCATGTTGTGGTGACCCCCAACCATAAAATTATTTTCGTTGCTACTTCATAACTGTAATTTTGCTACTGTTATGAATCGTAATGTAAATATCTGATATGCAGGATGTATTTTTATTGTTACAAATTGAACATAACTAAAGCATAGTGATTAATCACAAAAACAATATGTAATTATATATGTGTTTTCTGATGGTCTTAGGTGACCCCTGTGAAAGGGTCGTTCGACCCCCAAAGGGGTCGCGACCCACAGGTTGAGAACCACTGATTTAGAGGATCATACCTAGATGAAGGGGGAAGATCATACCCTAATTTAGGAGCAAATAATATTTTTAAGAGGGGGAAGAATCTTATTTTTTTTAGCTTCATTTGGTAAAATACAAACTAGAAACGTTATTTTTTTTATCAAATATTTACTTTGAAACAAAAATTTCAAGCATCTCTCTTTTCTAATATCTTTCGTCAATGGACTGAATTGGTGGCTTTCTATATACCTTGAGGTTGAAGATAATTTTATTTGTAATGTATTTTCTCTCTCTTTTTACATTTTAAGGTGTTACACAATGGCCTCATCATGGAAATGAAACATCCAACTGTGGGGAAGATATCAGTCCCAGGTTTGAAAACTTTTATTTTTCTTACTACCTTCCTTAATAAACTGTTCCCCATGTTTACACCCCAAACAACTTGTCAAGACATTGTCCAAAATTTCTGTTTTTGATGAAAGTTAGAGTCGCACCAACAAGACTGCATGCTGAGGCTACTGAGTTGTGTCTTTGCTCTAACAAATATCTGATTATCACCGTCAGCAAAATGCTTGTATCACCTAACTCCATTTTCTGTAATCATGTGCTCACAAAGGTACATTGTGAAATTGCCAGCAGATAAGTAATGATAGATATGGCAAATATTATGAAATTATATGCGGTTCATATGCGAATGAGAAAGGAAGCCAGGCTCCATAGAGGTGGTGTCCAATGAAGGCTACTGACTGCTCAGGCCAGGGAATTTTTCTTTCTTTCTTTGACTCGAGGGCCACAATGGGTTCTTAAACTGGACCGGAGGGCCGGAACAAAAGCATGGATGGAGTGTTTGTGTGAACTAATATCAATTCAAAGTAAACATCATTACATAAAAGGGTACGGTCTTTTTTTTTTTTTTAGTTTTATTCATTTCAAATGGGCCAGATCCGGCCCGCGGGCCGTAGTTTGCCCACAGCTGGTTTAGGGTCTCGATCTTAGCTTTGTAGATCAAGAAACTAAATGTTTTCGGGAAACTCAGAATATATTGAAGTTTTGTAATTTGACTCAGACCAAACAAACTCACCCAAAGAATTTTGGCCAAAATGCCAACTCTATACCTCCGGGGGGAATTCTTTTCCTTGTAGCCAGGATCCTCCTTCCTCCTCTCAAAGCACCCAGACTGTAGCAAGAGCTTATGATTAACCTGTTACCATACCCAGGCTTCACTTCTCTGGTGATCGTAATGTGACCATTCCTCAGGTCTGTTGTCTCTGCTCTGGGGATTGCTGGTAAAACACGCCACATTCTTCATTGTGTCCCTATTTTCCAGACTATGCACAAACCATGCACTTTTTTTTTTTCCCTTTTCTTCTAAGATTTGGGATCAACTCACAGTATTGTCCCAGGACAGTTCAGATAATGGCCACTGGCATGTAAAAAATAATAATAAGCCCTGACCGGTTTGGCTCAGTGGATAGAGCATCAGCCTGCAGACTCAAGGGTCCCGGGTTCGATTCCTGTCAAGGGCATGTACCTTGGTTGCGGGCACATCCCCAGTGGGGGGGGGGGGGAGGGTGTGCAGGAAGCAGCTGATCGATTTTTCTCTCTATCCCTCTCCCTTCCTCTCTGTAAAAAATCAATAAAATATATTTAAAAAATAATAATAAGAGGGAATTATGGTAAATAAATAAAATTGAAATAGAAAATTCTAATGCACAGGAGTATAAGGAACATTATCCACAAATTAAGGAAGGTAACTAAGAGAGAGAGAGCAGGTATAAGCATATCAGAGACTGAGATCATATGTTAATATGGAAATGATATATCATGTAGAAAGGTAGTAGGGGAAAATCACGTTAATAAAAGCTAAGAAAGGCTTTTATTCATTCATAGCGTATACTGTGTGGCAGGCAATGCTTTGGGTCCTCAGAATTAAAAAATAAACCAGATTCCTTGGCTCCTGGCCACATGGAGCTCATTCTCAATGGAAATGCTGGCAATAAAAGCAATCAACAAATGTTCCTATAACTATAATTCATGGTATGTGCAAGGAAGGGGAATGAACAGGGTGCTGTCACAGAGAATAATGGGGAAAGAGGGACCTGTGTTAATTTAGTTGATCAGAGGATGACTTATCAACTGAGAACTGAAGGATGTAAAGAAGTCAACATTTGGAGAGTAGGGGGAAGAGCATTCCAAGCAAAGGGACCAGCATGAGAGACGACCCTGAGGTGGGAAGGAGCTGGGTGCGTTTTAAGCCAGGATGGCAGATGAGGAAAAGGAGGCAGGACCTGAGACTAGAGAGCAGGGCAGAGCCTTGAAGGCCCCACTAAATCTGATTTTACTCTAGTTTTAAGCAGGGGAGTAAAATGACACAGTGTATAACTTAAAGCAGGTTAAGACGTTATTATAGGAGTTCAGGTAATGTATTAAGTTAGGGTCATGGTAATAGCAATAAAGGGAAGGGGATGGTCAAAATGTAATCACAGAGTTTTCAGTATGAAAAGACTTTAAAAGGCATTTTGTCCAGTAGTTTTAACTTTATTTTTTAAACAGTAAACTGATCATCTAAAACAGATCAAAACAGAGTTTTGCTGATCCATAGATTAGCACTCCAGCTGTTGGACTTTCTTCTACTTTCATCATGCCTTCCAAATCCCTCCTTAGAACCATCGGCCCTAACGAACAACCCAGGAACCACTGGTCCAATTTAATTCCCCAAGTTTAAAGATGAGATCCGACAGTCATTTATATCCCCAACACATGAGAGGAAAGGTTAAACACTAGAAAGTTAATACAAATATTAGTATGAAAGTAAGGAAACAAGTAAGTCAGTGGCCAACCTAGAATGAACTCACTGGATGTAATCCTCTCTCAATCAATCAGACATGAATTTGCTGACTTCCAGGTAACTCAGGAAGATGGAAATATTTTTTGAGATTCCTTAAAGGGAGACGTATACCCATTTCACTCACTTGAATTTATAAGTGTATTTGTTAGCTATAGTCACAAGAAAGCTGTATAACAAATAACCACAAAAATCTCAGTGGCACTCTAGCATAAGCATTTATTTATTCCATGGATGTGGATTTAGTGGGGGATGGCTGAGCTGGGTTCGACTTGCCCAGGTAGCTTTTATTACAGGTGCAAGCCTGGCACCTAGTGAGGTTTGCCTCCTCACTGTGTTAGCCTCAGTTCTGCTCCGTGTGTCTCTCCTGTTCTTCTCATGACAATGGCAGGAGAGCAAGAAACTAAGCAGAAACCACAAGGCCACTTAAGACCTTCTGCAGAGCTGTCAGATCCTTCTGCCCACACTCTATTGGCCAAAGCAACTTTTAGGCTGTATCCCAAGAGCTGGGGAAATAGATCTCTTTTTAAGTGAAACTGCAACGTTACATGTTAAAGGCTTCGGAGGGATAAATAAGGCTTGGGTCAAAAATTCAAGTTACCATGATAGAATTCTCAGATCTGTTGTAATCTTTCTTATCCTTCATTTTTATCTTTATTCTCTTTGGGAAATTCTTTTCTTTTCTTTTCTTTTCTTTTCTTTTCTTTTCTTTTCTTTTCTTTTCTTTTCTTTTCTTTTCTTCTTTCTTTCTTTCTTTCTTTCTTTCTTTCTTTCTTTCTTTCTCTTTCTCTTTCTCTTTCTCTCTCTCTCTCTCTCTTTCTTTCTTTCTTTCTTTCTTTCTTTCTTTCTTTCTTTCTTTCTTTCTTTCTTTCTTTCTCTTTCTCTCTCCCTTTCTTTCTTTCTTTCTTTCTTTCTTTCTTTCTTTCTTTCTTTCTTTCTTTCTTTCTCTCTTTTCTTTCTTTCTCTCTTTCTCTCTTTCTTTCTTTCTTTTCTTTCTTTCTCTCTTTCTCTCTCTCCTTCCTTCCTTCCTTCCTTCCTCTCTTTCTCTCTCCCCTTCCTTCCTTCCTTCCTTCCTTCCTTCCTTCCTTCCTTCCTTCCTTCCTTCCTTCCTTCCTTCCTCACCTGAGGACATATTTCCCATTGACCCCAGAGAGAGAGAGAGAGAGGAAGAGAGAGATATCCATTGGTTGCTTCCTTTATGCCCCCCCCCCCCGCCCCGACTGAGGATTGAACCAGCCACCTTTTGGTGTACAGGACAATGCTTCAATCAACTGAGCCACCCAGCCAGGGCTATTTTTGTTTCTTTAATTTTTATAGAGCTTAAGCATATTTTTATATATCTTATTGACTTACCTTATATCCTTTCTATAGAATTATCAATATTGGAAGTCTCAGATTTGGGATGAAATGCATGCATTTAGGTCATTTTCAAAATTAGTGTTTCTCCAAGGCAATACACCTGGACTCCCCATGAAAAGGGAGAGAAAATCAGATAAAAAGTTGCTATTGTTTCTTCTAATTCAGTGTATCCTAGTAAGGGGCCTCTCAAACAGGATAAGATATATTAATATAAATAATTTCACAGTAAGTAATTAAATTTTTCCTGTGGATTGCCCCTTTCATTGATTTTATTTACCTTTATAGTTCTGTCTTTCTTTGTAAATGTTCCCTTTGGAGACCTCAGGAATGTTGTAAAAATAACTCAGACTCTCCCACAATGCCTCATTAAAGTGAATCTGCCAAAACAGAAAAAGTGGGTAGAGTGAAAGGTGATTTTATGCTACACTGTTTGCTAGTTAGCCAGTGGAGACACATTTTGAATTCATTAAATGTATTTCTCTAGATTTGCATATACATGGGTGTGCAAAAATAGGTTTACAGTTGTTTCTATGGAAAAATATGTAACACAAGAATAGTATATAATAAAAGCCTAATATGCTAAGTGTCCAGTTGTCCTGTTGGCCGTTCAACCAATCAAAGCTTAATATGCTAATGATATGCAAAGCCGCTGAACTGCTCACTATGACATGCACTGACAACCAGGGGGAAGACGCTCTGACCAGTAGGTTAGCTTGCTGCTGGGGTCCGGCCGATCCGGACTGAGCAAGGCAGGCCGGACACACCCTGGAGCCCTCCTGCGGTCCCTCCCCAGCTGGCCAAACCCCCACATCCCTCCCCGGCTCTGATTGTACACCAGTGGGGTCCCTTGGCCTGGCCTGTGCCCTCTTGTAATCTGGGACCCCTCGGGGGATGTCAGAGAGCCAGTTTCGGCCCCATTGGCAGAATAACCAGTCGCTATGACACACACTGACCACCAGGGGGAAGATGCTCAATGCAGGAGCTGCCCCCTGGTGGTCAGTGCTCTCCCCCTGTGGGAAGCCGGGTGGGTGAGTGCAGCGGCAGTGGCGGGAGCCTCTCCAACCTCCACAGCAGCGCTAAAGATATCTGACTGATGGCTTAAGCCCGCTCCCCACAGGGCTCCCGGACTGCACAGACTGGGCTGAGGGGACTCCCCCCCCCCAGTGCA